TGCCCATCTAAAGGGGTGTGGGGGCGGAATAAAAGAACCACTGCCCAACTAAGGGGGAATAATAGAACTACTGCCCATCTAAGGGGGAATAATAGAACCACTGCCCATCTAAAGGGGTGTTGTAGCAGAGTCATTACCCTTACCGCCTTTTAGTGTTGTGCTGTCTGCACGACAAGACCCCTCATGGCCTTCACCCTTGTTTTTAGAAATTTTCCACTGAGCTTAGTGATCGACTAAAGTCCATAGGTCCCTGTCCTTGCTTCCCACGATATTTCCAGCCGTCTGTCTAGACATCACGTGACTCTCCCCGTCCAGCACAAAACAATAAGTTGTTTTTTACATTGTTGCAATACTTCCACTGACCCGGCTAGCTAAAGTCGGGGTAGACTCTGCAAAACAATGTGACTGGAAGGTCGCGGAAGCAGGCTAGTAGCACCTTTATAAGCGACTGCCCGGAACCCACAAGAACAACAAGCACCGGCCAGCTGAACAGGGAAGGAAGTCAGGCTTGAGGGCAGGTTGATTAGAAAGTATAGATAAGAAGATAGATAAAGTTATTCCCGTTAATTACATGAAATAGATGTATTCCATCAGAATCTCCGTCAGAAACCGTGGACCAGTCCAAGAAGTTACGATTGTTTTTACACATGAAAACGGACTAGCACGCGTATACAACTTCACAGTAAGGCTATTTGACATCTATTTTAACCGACCATGGGCCCAGCGGTATTCAGGAGTGGATACTGATTCAGGGTCAGAAGAAGGATAAGAAGAAGCAGGAGCACAATAGACTAAAACTTCACATAGGCCGGACTTCCTGGAGATCCCCTGTTGCATTTTAAAAGAAAGATATAAACTTTTTAGACCAACCTACACTAGGAACCGTGGCAGTTACAGACACTAGAACCAGTTAACACAGCGCGAACCTAAGAGTATGTAACCAAAGGGAGAACACAGCGCTATTCAAAATATTTTTGATATTGTTCGTGTCATTTCTGAAGTGTCACAATAAAGACAGTTTAGACAAGAACAGTTGTTTTCAGACACATTATTATACAATCATCTGAGTAACGTGAGAAGCATGCAGTAAGCGAGACACTCTCATTATTGTAACCATTATCGACACTACAACTTCTATTCCCATCTTTATCATCATCATCAGCTACCCATGTGGCAAATATAAACACAAACCTGGGTTCACTTCTAATATAGGCAGTAAAGGAGGCTGCTGTGCCACAGTGTGGGGGCGGAATAAAAGAACCACTGCCCAACTAAGGGGGAATAATAGAACCACTGCCCATCTAAGGGGGGAATAATAGAACCACTGTCCATCTAAGGGGGAATAAAAGAACCACTGCCTATCTGAAGGGGAATAATAGAACCACTGCCGGTCTAGGGGAAATAATAGAACCACCGCCTACCTAAGGAGGGAATAAAAGAACCACTGCCTATCTGAAGGGGAATAATAGAACCACTGCCCATCTAAGGAGGGAATAATAGAACCACTAACCATCTAAGAGGGAAAAATAGAACCAATGCCCATCTAAGGGGGAATAATAGAATTACTGCCCATCTAAAGGGGGGTGGGACGGAATAATAGAACCACTGCCCATCTGAGGGGGAATAATAGAACCACTGCCAATCTATGGAGAAATAATAGAACCACTGCCCATCTAAAGGGGTGTGGGGGCGGAATAAAAGAACCACTGCCCAACTAAGGGGGAATAGTAGAACTACTGCCTATCTAAGGGGGGAAAATAGAACCACTGCTTATCTAAGGGGAATAATAGAACTACTGCCCATCTAAGGGGGAATAATAGAACCACTGCCCATCTAAAGGGGGAGTAATAGAACCACTGCCCATCTAGAGGGGTGTTGTAGCAGAGTCATTACCCTTACCGCCTTTTAGTGTTGTGCTGTCTGCACGACAAGACCCCTCATGGCCTTCACCCTTGTTTTTGGAAATTTTCCACTGAGCTTAGTGATCGACTAAAGTCCATAGGTCCCTGTCCTTGCTTCCCACGATATTTCCAGCCGTCTGTCTAGACATCACGTGACTCTCCCCGTCCAGCACAAAACAATAAGTTGTTTTTCACATTGTTGGAATACTTCCACTGACCCGGCTAGCTAAAGTCGCGGCAGACTCTGCAAAACAATGTGGCTGGAAGGTCGCGAAAAAAGGCTAGTAGCACCTTTATAAGCAACTGCCCGGAACCCATAAGAACAACAAGCACCGGCCAGCTGAACAGGGAAGGAAGTCAGGCTTGAAGGCAGGTTGATTAGAAAGTATAGATAAGAAGATAGATAAAGTTATTCCTGTTAATTTCACGAAATAGATGTATTCCATCAGAATCTCCGTCAGAAACCGTGTACCAGTCCAAGAAGTTACGATTGTTTTTACACATGAAAACGGACTAGCACGCGTATACAACTTCACAGTAAGGCTATTTGACATCTAATTTAACCGACCATGGGCCCAGCGGTATTCAGGAGTGGATACTGATTCAGGGTCAGAAGAAGGAGAAGAAGAAGAAGAAGAAGAAGGAGCACAATAGACTAAAACTTCACATAGGCCGGACTTCCTGGAGATCCCCTGTTTTATTTTAAAAGAAGAAAGATGAAAACTTTTTAGACCAACCTGCACTAGGAGCCCGGTGGCAGTTACAGACACTAGAACCAGTTAACACAGCGCAAACCTAAGAGTATGTAACCATAGGGAAAACACAGCGCTATTCAAAATATTTTTGATATTGTTCGTGTCATTTCTGAAGTGTCACAATAAGGACAGTGTAGACAAGAACAGTTGTTTTCAGACACATTATTATACAATCATCTGAGTAACGTGAGAAGCATGCAGTAAGCGAGACACTCTCATTATTGTAACCATTATCGACACTACAACTTCTATTCCCATCTTTATCTTCATCATCGGCTACCCTTGTGGCAAATATAAACACGAACCTGGGTTCAATTCTAATATAGGCAGTAAAGGAGGCAGCTGTGCCACAGTGTGGGGGCGGAATAAAAGAACCACTGCCCAACTAAGGGGGAATAATAGAACCACTGCCCATCTAAGGGGGGAATAAAAGAACCACTGCCCAACTAAGGGGGAATAATAGAACCACTGCCCATCTAAGGGGGAAATAATAGAACCACTGTCCATCTAAGGGGGAATAAAAGAACCACTGCCTATCTGAAGGGGAATAATAGAACCACTGCCGGTCTAGGGGAAATAATAGAACCACCGCCTACCTAAGGAGGGAATAAAAGAACCACTGCCTATCTGAAGGGGAAAAATAGAACCACTGCCCATCTAAGGGGGAAATAATAGAACCACTGCCCATCTAAGGGGGGAATAATAGAACCACTGCCCATCTAAGGGGGAATTAAAGAACCACTGCCTATCTGAAGGGGACTAATAGAACCACTGCCAGTCTTGGGGGAATAATAGAACTACCGCCTACCTAAGGAGGGAATAATAGAACCATTGCCCGTCTAAGGGGGAATAATAGAACTACTGCCCATCTAAAGGGGAGTGGGGTGGAATAATAGGACCACTGCCCATCTAAGGGGGAATAATAGAACCACTGCCCATCTAAGGGGGAATAATAAAACCACTGCCTATCTGAAGAGGAATAATAGAACCACTGCCAGTCTAGGGGGAATAATAGAACCACTGCCCATCTAAAGGGGGAGTAATAGAACCACTGCCCATTTAACAAGCATGTCATACAAGATGACTAATTAGGGTATTACCTTTAAAGTGGGAGTGCATCTGCATGAAAGGGGAGTAATCAACAGTCTGCCTGCCAATAAGCCAGATCTGTAAAACAGTTCTGCATGTAAAATTCAAGTTCTGGAACAAGAGAAAAGTCCAGAATTAGGCCAATAACCAGAACTTTCTGCCAGTATTTACATCTGGTCAAAACTAAGAAGCAGAAGAAGAAAGAGCACCAAAATGGTAGCAGCTGCTATGTGACAATGTACTGACTGTTCAGATATGTTTACACTTATTGTTTTCTTCACCCAACATTCCCCACCCCATTTTAATATATTATCTTATTGTCATTGATTAATGTCTTTCAGTTGGTGAGGTATGGACCTGGGGTTGTGGTGCACAACTTGGTTTGGGAGATCTGCAGCAGACATCAGTTCCAAGAAGGATTGACCTTCTCCAGGGCCATACAGCTGTTGCTGTCTGCTGTGGGGACGGACACAGCATGGCTCTTGTCCTCAGAGGTGACAAAACAAGGTCGTCACCCCTAAGGAAGAACACAGGAAGAGCAGAAGCAGTACCTGTGATGCAAAATGATCTGTACACATCTAGATGCCGCTTATGTAACAAGGAGATGTTTACTTTCACAGATACAAATGACATGTGTATCATTGACACACGACACGTCTGCAGTGTCCCTGACTCCATGCAGGCAATCGACACAACAATTATAGAAGATCTGTCATCGTCCACCTCTAGTGAGGCAATGAGAAGATCAATAACCGTCTCCCCAGAGAAGGAGACCAGTGGGACATTAGGGAGATTAGCAACGGCATCTCCCCAGGCTGATTCAATGAACAGATCACTTTCACTGTCTCCAGATTTAAAGCTGGAGCTACCGTCTGACAGGGCGTTGTGGAGACATGAAAGTACAGATGATAATAGAAAGATGGTCCCTGGAGATAATAATCTTGTCAATGACTCTAGTCACTTTGAGTCTGCTGACTGTGATTTGAGTGTTCTTGTTATACAAGCTGAATGTTCCTTTGGGGAAGGAGGTAACATTGTAGAAACTGATAAACAGAACTTGGCAGATGCTTCAGGATCACTGAGGGGCAACAGTTCCTCCATAAACAGCTCAGTTACTGTTTCTGAAGCAGACAGACAGACAGTTGTCAAAAATGTGGCAGAAGAGACAGATCTACCAAACCCCAGGGATGAAGATGTTTGGATTACTACAAGAAGTCACACTGATGACTTGGAAGTTTGTGCACATAAACAAAAAATGATTTCAGATGTAGAACAAGAGGGGAGAAGTAAACTCTTTCTGGACCAGGTACAGACTGTAGCAGTAGGAATGGCTAGTTCCGACAGAAGAGAAATGTCGGTTGATTCTGACGACGAAGTGTGGAAGAGACGTTCAGTGTCTGACAACAAAGTAGAAGGTGGGTGATTCAGTGATGAGAAAGTTAAACCTTAATACAATTTCACCTGCTATTGGACTATATGCTATTAACAATATTATGCTGTACCTTCATATCCTTAGTCTCACTTATAGTTCCTTCCATATTCTTCCTATTTTACACAAGTATGCCCTGAAATCATATCTCTTCTGTTTTTTTTTAATCTTTCTCTACTTTTTTATGTCTTGAAAGTTGCAGCCAAAGCATTTTCTAGTAATGCTATAAATTGACTTATTCATGGAGCCTTGCACTGGTGTCACTTATTTATGACTGAGAAGGAAGCAAGACACAGAGGAAGGGGAGAGACAGAAAGAAAGATATGTGTAGATAGACAGAGGGATAGGAAGAGAAGAAAGATTGGGAAATAAGCAAGAGTGTTAGAGACCAAAAATAGCAAAAATGGAATTGATTAATAAGACATTTCATAAAAAAACAGACTAGCCTTCTGTAGTAGATTTTCACATGCTTAACTCTTTGAGTCTTAAGGAACGCATCGTATGTTCATATGTTCCTACCTAGAAGCCCAGTGAATGCATGATATGCCAATTTTATTACTTTCTGTACTAGCTCCTGGGCCTGTGATGCTAAACCCCCTGGGACTCAAAGAGTTAAGGGCTTGTACTGAAGAGATATTGGGATATGGGACTCAAAGAGTTAAGGGCTTGTACTGAAGAGATATTGGGATATTGGACTCAAAGAGTTAAGGGCTTGTACTGAAGAGATATTGCGATATGGGGCTCAAAGAGTTAAGGGCTTGTACTGAAGAGATATTGGGATATTTCTTGAAGACACTACAGTTTTTTTAATAAATTCTTATACATATTTGTAACATTGTCTATTTATGTCATGTACTGATGAAAGTTTTCTAGCCGCTACATTTATTTGTTGTTCATCGCCGCGATGGTTGAAGTTGTCCAGTTCACTTTATCATTTGGTTTCATATCTTTTCAAGACATTTTGTAGCAGAAGGCAAATGTGGTTCTATAGCAGCACAGAAGCAATGTATTTTGTGTACATTCTTGTTCCTAGTCCTCTCTGATCATGATGCTGTTTGTAGTAGAGTCGCTAGTTTACTTGCTGACCACTACAGTTACCTGGCAATAGCTGACCACAACAGTGACTTGCAATAGCTGACCATTACAGTGACCTGACAATAGCTGACCATTACAGTGACCTGGCAATAGCTGACCATTACAGTGACCTGGCAATAGCTGACCACTACAGTGACCTGGCAATAGCTGACCACTACAGTGACCTGGCAATAGCTGACCATTACACTGACCTGGCAATAGCTGACCACTACAGTGACCTGACAATAGCTGACCATTACAGTGACCTGGCAATAGCTGACCTGACCTGGTACAGCTGACACAACATGGGTAATAGCTGACCACAACAGTGACCTGGCAATAGCTGACCACAACAGTGACCTGGCAATAGCTGACCACAACAGTGACCTGGCAATAGCTGACCACTACAGTGACCTGGCAATAGCTCACCACTACAGTGACCTGGTAATAGCTGATCACTGCCGTGACCTGACAATAGCTGACCACAAGAGTGACCTGGCAATATCTGATCACAGCCATGACCTGACAATAGCTGACCACAACAGGGACCTGGCAATAGCTGACCACAACAGTGACCTGGCAATAGCTGACCACAACAGTGACCTGGCAATAGCTGACCACAAGAGTGACCGATCACAGTGACCTGGCAATAGCTGACCACAACAGTGACCTGGCAATAGCTGACCACAACAGTGACCTGACAATAGCTGACCACAAGAGTGACCTGGCAATAGCTGACCACAACAGTGACCTACAATAGCTGACCACAACAGCTGCAATAGCCATTGACCACAGTGACCTGGCAATAGCAGTGACCACAAGAGTGAACAATAGCTGACCACTACAGTGACTGGTAATAGCTGATCACTGCTAGACCTGACAATAGCTGACCACTACACCTGACAATAGCTGGCAATAGCTGACCTGGCAATAGCTGACAACAGTGACCTGGCAATAGCTGACCACTACAGTGACCTGGCAATAGACCACTGAGCCACACACAGTGACCTGACAATAGCTGACCACAACAGTGACCTGGCAATAGCTGACCACAACAGTGACCTGACAATAGCTGACCACAAGAGTGACCTATCAATAGCTGACCACAACAGTGACCTGACAATAGCTGACCACAACAGTGACCTGGCAATAGCTGACCACAAGAGTGACCTGGCAATAGCTGACCACAAGAGTGACAATAGCTGACCACAAGAGTGACCTGGCAATACAAGAGTGACCTGGCAATGCTGACCACAACAGTGACACTGACTTACAGCAGTGACCACAGCAGTGGCCAGGCAGTGGCTGATGACTTTGACTATAGGCATCTAAGACGGATAGGTATGAGGCTGGCTCAGTTATCGTATAAAATGTACACAGATCCAAAAGTTCTCAAATAAATTCATAAAGCATCAAGAGTTGGTTGAGGGCCTATGCTTCATTGGGAGAAGGGCAGAGACACACAATAGGTGCCTCTTCCTCTCCCCCCTCCCTCCTTCCCTCTTTTCTGCCCTCTCTGACACACATACACACTTTTAACTGTACATTCACAGAAGAAAAAAGTAGCCAGCTATCACCTCTGACCTCACATCTGAGGTCGCTGGACTTGTCTGGTGCCAGGGAGTACTTACTGCGACAATTTGAGGATGAGATAGAACCAGCAGAGTTGCCAGGAGACCAGGAGAAGCATTCAGGGATTGCCGGGAAGTCACCCGTTGACCTAGAAACAGTTCAAAGTGAGATATCTGAGACATCATATGCTGATGTGTTTAGTCACTCCTACAGCATGCTAGCTCAGGTTTGTGTGTGTTCTATGTCCTACTGCTAGCTCAGGTTTGTGTGTGTTCTATGTCCTACTGCTAGCTCACATTTGTGAATGTTCTATGTCCTACTGCTAGCACAGGTTTGTGGGTGTTCTATGTCCTAATGGTAGCACATGTTTGTGTCTATATTCTATGTCCTACTGGAAGCACAGGTTTGAGGATGTTCTATGTCCTACTGGTAGCCCAGGTTTGTGGATGTTCTTTGTCCTACTGGTAGCACAGGTTTGAGGATGTTCTATGTCCTACTGGTAGCATATGTTTGTGGATGTTCTTTGTCCTACTGGTAGCTCAGGTTTGTGGATGTTCTATGTCCTACTGGTAGCTCAGGTTTGTGGATGTTCTATGTCCTACTGGTAGCACAGGTTTGTGTCTGTGTTCTATGTCCTACTGGCAGCACAGGTTTGTGGATGTTCTATGTCCTACTGGTAGCTCAGGTTTGTATATGTTCTGTGTCCTACTGGTAGCACAGGTTTGTGGATGGTCTATGTCCTACTGGCAGCACATGTTTTTGGATGTTCTATGTCCTACTGGTAGCTCAGGTTTGTATATGTTCTGTGTCCTACTGGTAGCACAGGTTTGTGGATGGTCTATGTCCTACTGGCATACTGGCAGCACAGGTTTGTGGATGTTCCTTGTCCTGCTGGCAGCACAGGTTTGTGGATGTTCTATGTCTTACTGGTAGCTCAAGTTTGTAGATGGTATGTGTCCTACTGGTAGCACAGGATTGTGGATGGTCTGTGTCCTACTGGTAGCACAGGTTTGTGTCTATGTTCTATGTCCTACTGGCAGCACAGGTTTGTGGATAGTCTGTGTCCTACTGGTAGCACAGGTTTGTGTCTATGTTTTGTGTCCTACTGCTAGCTCAGGTTTGTGGATGTTCTGTGCCCTACTGCTAGCTCAGGTTTGTGTCTATGTTCTGCTGTTAGTAAAGCTTTATATTTGTTCTAATCTACATCACTTTAAATCTTATAAAGATGTTTTTTTTTTTCTAATGTGTTGGCAGGTATAGAGAAGTATTAGTAGGAGGAGTAATAGCATCAGCAGTATCAGCAGTAGCAGTAGTAGTCCTAACTTTAATATAAATACTATTGATGACAGTTATGGAAGAAATGTTACTGACAATGACATTTATTTTACACCAGGTCAAACTAATGACAAGCAAAGCCTTGACAAACATCCAAGCATTTTCCTTGTTTTCTTCTGCAAATGAAGTCACTGAAGGGGAGATAAACCCTCAGTCTCAGTTTGAGTTGTCCTCTTTGTCAAAAGCAGCAAATAATGAAATACAAAACAACATATTGGATGATACCGGGCTAGCAGGTAAACATTTTCTTGTTTAGCATTTTGTATTTAAATTGATTAGATTTCAATATTTAGATTTAGAAATTTTTTGGTAATCTGTAAAATTTGTTTTATGAACTGTTCCGGTTAGACAGTTATTCGCAGTAACAGTTTCACGGTCCGGTCATCTCATCATTGTAAAAAAAAAACATAAACACATAATGCCAATCACTGTCTCTTGTGTAAATAAACCAATCTGCAGTTCCGGAAAAGCTGTCAATATAAACATGCATTCAGTGCATGAGGCACCCACCAAATGGCTTTGACAAACTGTCCACCACTTGAGATGCAGTTAGTTGGTCGCTGATAGAAGTGGAAGTCACAACAAATGCATAAGGCATCAGTCATTTATTGCGTGGCATTCGGCCACTCACCAGTTTCTGAATCCACGATTCTCAACAGAAACAACTTTGATAACAGTTAAAAATATTCAACATGAAATCTACAACTCAAAATGTTGCACCAGGCACTCAACTGAGGTGTTGAATGACTGAAAGGTTCAATGTTTCTTTAGGTGTTTAAGGGGTCACTACACAGCATTTTTTCCAATTTATGACAAAAAAATCACTTTTTCAATGTGTTCGTTTTTGTAAAGTTCGGCATTCGTAGAATTGATTACACACAAAACTTATGTCATTTGTAAACAATTTAGCTTTGAAAAGCTAATACTAAAAGCACCAACCAATGCACTTTTTAAAGATTAAAAAAAAAAGTTTAAAAGTCAGTTTTCTCACATCTCTATATTTCTGTTTGTTGTGTGTGTGAAATCCTAAAATCTCAGCTAATATAAAGACTAGAAACATGAAATTTAGTACAGATACTCCGTAAACAATACAATAGGGACTGGTCCTTTTAAAATTAGATTTTAGAAGGTTTTTGTTTTTTTTAAAATTTGATTATTGTCTTATGATGCTTGAATATATTGACTTTTTCAGTAAACCTACATTTTAAAATTATACAAACAAATATTGAAAAACATGTTTAAATAAACTACACATCTATCATCTATTGATTAATGCGTTTGTTTTTAAAATGTTAGGATTCTAAGTACATGTTGTTTTTTCCCTTAAGCTGGCGGCTATTGCCATGACAACCATGATTTTTTCACACTTGAAGTATGCAAATGTTATAACATGTATCCCTTCAAATGACCATAATAAAATAATTGCTGTAACGCTCTAAATTTAAAAAAAATCTTTTTTGGTGTAGTGACTCCTTAATGTCTTACGGTATTTAGTCCACATTCTGGCATCTATGTGAATTTTTCTTGAGTATTCAAGATTCAGATCTCTCGGCCAGGCTGTTGCCTTGGAGAATGTGAGCTAGCTTTTCATATCTGACCAGAGATTGGAACCTATTTTTGCTGAAGTTAACTGTTTGGCCACATGTTTGCTGAAGTTAACTGTTTGGCCACATGTTTCATAGGGAAGGATAGTTTTTTGACAGATAATACCATTTACTTTTTTCTTCTTCTTTTTCCTTCATTTTCTAATTATTTATGTTCCTCTCATCTCGCCCTCCCTCCCCTCCCCTTCTTTTTTCCTCTTCATACATGTCATCCTCCTGTTCCTCCACTTTCTTCTTCTTCCTTCTGTTTTAAAGCATAACCCCTCCCCCTTTTTTGTGTGTGTTGTCACCACATCCTCCAGCTCTTCCCTTCAGATGACACGTCGATGAGTGTGGATTGTTTCCCTGTCGTGCATGTCAATAGGTTTTCACTATTTTTTAATGACATATGTTGAATACTTCGGTTTGTTTTGTTACATTTGAACTAAATTTCTGCTGCCATTCTTTCATTGGAAGACAGTGTTTTTTTTTGTGCAAATATTTAATGCATTTTATTTGTTTCATTTTCTCTGTATTACTTTATCTAAATAAGGGTAAACATTTTGGCTGTGCTGTCAGTAAAAGTACACAATCATGGTTTAATTGCAGGTCAGTCATCGGTCATCAGGTCAGGTACCTTTATGGAGTGGACAAGAGAAATGGCTTCTGTAGATGAAGATCCAGGTAGCCTCACAAAGGATGATGACCAGCGGTCACTCCGCACCATAGAAATGCAACAGAGAAAGCTAACTAGAGCATCGTTATCATCCAGATCTGGTGAGTGGCTGCATTTGAGAGGCTTTGATATGGTGTCCTAGCGGGCTAGGTTCTGAGGCCTCTTGGCGAAGGGGGGCTAGACATTCTCTGCCCTTATCAAGCATGTGGGTAAAAGTGATTTATGAAATGTTTGCTTCAGTCAGACTGTAGATGACAGTCAACACAATGTGTCAGCTGCTCTTTTCATGACAAACAAACAAGAAGACATGGATTAACAGTTAAATGCATTCAAGGTAACTGTTTAAGAACATTGATCAACCTTCAAGAACACTGAAGAAATGACAGAAATGTCTGGACAACCACAGTAAGGAATAGTTACCAGACACAGAAGATAGTGGTCTACTGGCCACATCCTGACATGAAGCAAACAGACACTGAAGTGGGAAACAAATGGATTGAGGAAACATGTGGCAAACAAACACTTAAGATAAGTGTTGATGAGAGAGGTTGAAGGTGCTGGACATATCCGTGATACTGGAGTAGTTGAACAAGATAGAAGAGACTGGATGAATAAACTGCAAACCTGCCTGGTGTGGACCTGCACATCACGATGATGATGCTGAAATCAGATTTGAGGCTGTAGGGCTAAGCTGGAAACACCATTTATCAGCCGTCCTTCTCATGGAAGGTACAGAAGAAGAAGGTATTGTATGTCTGACGAACACACTCTGTAGGACTGGTACTGTCTCCATCCAGCTAGGTGTAATCTGTAGGACTGGTGCTGTCTACATCCAGCCAGGGGTAATCTGTAGGACTGTGCTGTCTACATCCTGTCAGGGGTAATCTGTAGGATTGGTGCTGTCTACATCCAGCCAGGGGTAATCTGTAGGATTGGTGCTGTCTACATCCAGCCAGGGGTAATCAGTAGGATTGGTGCTGTCTACATCCAGCCAGGGGTAATCTGTAGGATTGGTGCTGTCTACATCCAGCCAGGGGTAATCTGTAGGATTGGTGCTGTCTACATCCAGCCAGGGTAATCTGTAAGATTGGTGCTGTCTACATCCAGCTAGGGGTAATCTGTAGGATTGGTGCTGTCTACATCCAGCCAGGGGTAATCTGTAGGATTGGTGCTGTCTACATCCAGCCAGGGTAATCTGTAGGATTGGTGCTTTCTACATCCAGCCAGGGGTAATCTGTAGGATTGGTGCTTTATACATCCAGCCAGGGGTAATCTGTAGGATTGGTGCTTTATACATCCAGCCAGGGGTAATCTGTAGGATTGGTGCTGTCTACATCCAGCCAGGGGTAATCTGTAGGATTGGTGCTGTCTCCATCCAGCCAGGGGTAATCTGTAGGATTGGTGCTGTCTACATCCAGCCAGGGGTAATCTGTAGGATTGGTGCTTTATACATCCAGCCAGGGGTAATCTGTAGGATTGGTGCTTTATACATCCAGCCAGGGGTAATCTGTAGGATTGGTGCTGTCTACATCCAGCCAGGGGTAATCTGTAGGATTGGTGCTGTCTCCATCCAGCCAGGGGTAATCAGTAGGATTGGTGCTGTCTACATCCAGCCAGGGGTAATCTGTAGGATTGGTGCTGTCTCCATCCAGCCAGGGGTAATCAGTAGGATTGGTGCTGTCTACATCCAGCTAGGGGTAATCTGTAGGACTGGTGCTGTCTACATCCAGCCAGGGGTAATCAGTAGGATTGGTTCTGTCTACATCCAGCCAGGGGTAATCTGGACACTCTGACTCAGTCAATTCACACTGCTAAATGGCCGGCTGGTTGGGATTGGATCCATCCTCCCTGAGACAAGAAGTTCTGTCATTGATACGGGCTGCCAAGCCAGCCTGTCCTACAGTGTGCCGGCAGTTTCCTAGGAAGTTCAGGTGACTGCTGCAGTATTGACAACCCACTGCATTCTGATTGGTCTGAGACATGTGAAAAGCCATGCATGGCAAGAAGAGGGATCATTGACTAACAGTGTGGGACTGAGTTTCTGAACACTTCTTAAACAACAACATAGGCACTAGTCACAGCTTCTCAAAATACTATGAACTATAAATATAACAGAAAGCTCAACAAAGACAGCTCATTGGAGGGAATGGACAAGACGTGTACAAATAGAACTGAATTCCACCAGTGCCTTTATCAACGGATTACTTAATACAACATAGACTGTGACTCGAAAACGCACTGGACAAGACAACAGAGCTTCTAAGCAACCAAGGTCAACATGAAACCAGAGAACTTAAATTTGTTTTGAGAAATGTTTAGTTTCAATTTGTGTTGTGTATAGTATTTCTTGATATCATCTCAACTTTAGTCATCCCATTTACATCTCATAATTCAGTCAAACTCCATGAACACAAATTCCAAGTTTCAAGGGACTAAAAAAAATTGAGAGTTCTTGTTAAAACAATATTTTGTACTAACCAGGTATTAGAAATAATAATCCCTGCGGAGAGCAGACTTTTGTTCATGTTAAACATCTCTTCATGTTAACCAACTTTTCTTCTTCAGTGAGTTCATGATAATGAGGTTTTACTGTAGCATAAAAAGAGAGTTTTTGCTTACAGTATGAACTCTCATATCTAAACAATAGTTAAATAACAATGAAAGCAACTGGTCACAACATCTCATAAAGACATCAGTTGTGCTTGCAAACTAGAGCACTTGTGGGCGATCAGAGTTTTGACTTTTTTTTTTTCTGTTCCAACTGGACAGATACCTCAGGATGTGGGCCACCTCATCCACGCGTGGCTACAGCCACAGAGTTGTGGGTGTGGGGCTGTAACCACCATGGCCAGCTGGGCCTGGGGGATTTAGTGGAGAGAGCTCAACCCACAGCTGTCAAGTTCTTTGTGGGTAAGTTGTGCTGTCATCTCTTGTCACTGTCGTGTCACTGTCTTGTCATGGCCCTGTCAAGGTTTGTCAAGTTTTTGTCATGTAATGTATTTATCCTGTCTCAACCAGCCCACTAATGTGTACCTATGTACCTCTACCAACCCACTAATGTGTACCTATGTACCTCTATCAACCCCCTAATGTTTACCTATGTACCTCTACCAGCCCACTAATGTGATCCTGTGTACCTCTATCAACCCACTAATGTGTACCTATGTACCTCTACCAGCTCACTAATGTGTACCTATGTACCTCTATCAACCCCCTAATGTTTACCTATGTACCTCTACCAGCCCACTAATGTGATCCTTTTTACCTCTATCAACCCACTAATGTGTACCTATGTACCTCTACCAGCCCACTAATGTGTTCCTCTGTACCTCTATCAACCCACTAATGTGTACCTATGTACCTCTACCAGCCCACTAAGGTGATCCTGTGTACCTCTATCAACCCACTAATGTGTACCTATGTACCTCTACCAGCCCACTAATGTGATCCTCTGTACCTCTATCAACCCCCTAATGTTTACCTATGTACCTCTACCAGCCCACTAATGTGATCCTGTGTACCTCTATCAACCCACTAATGTGTACCTATGTACCTCTACCAGCCCACTAATGTGTTCCTCTGTACCTCTATCAACCCACTAATGTGTACCTATGTACCTCTACCAGCCCACTAAGGTGATCCTGTGTACCTCTATCAACCCACTAATGTGTACCTATGTACATCTACCAGCCCACTAATGTGTTCCTCTGTACCTCTATCAACCCACTAATGTGTACCTATGTACCTCTACCAGCCCACTAATGTGTTCCTCTGTACCTCTATCAACCCACTAATGTGTACCTATGTACCTCTACCAGCCCACTAATGTGTACCTATGTACCTCTACCAGCCCACTAATGTGTACCTATGTACCTCTATCAACCCACTAATATGTACCTATGTACCTCTATCAACCCACTAATGTGTACCTATGTACCTCTACCAGCCCACTAATGTGTACCTATGTACCTCTATCAACCCACTAATGTGTACCTATGTACCTCTACCAGCCCAAAAATGTGTACCTATGTACCTCTACCAGCCCACTAATGTGTACCTATGTACCTCTACCAGCCCACTAATGTGTACCTATATACCTCTATCAGCCCACTAATATTATGTACCTGTATACCTCTACCAGCCTACTAATGTGTACCTTAATACCTCTATCAGCCCACTAATATTATGTACGTGTGTACCTCTACCAGCCCACTAATATTATGTACGTGTGTACCTCTACTAGGTCGTCATGTGATCAAGGTGGCTGCAGGAGATAACCATAGCTTAGCCCTAACTGCAAACTCCCAGGTGTACTCCTGGGGCTCTAACTCCTGTGGTCAGCTTGGACAGCCAGATAGTGTCCAGGTACCGACCAGAATTAAGGTAATTATTCATCATATCCTACCTCTTCATTGAAGATTGGCTAAAATAAGTCTCTGGTACATGCTGTCCTGTGTTACCATTGCGCGTTTATTTTTGTCTTCAACAGTATTTCCTAGTGTTACCATCCCAGTTGTAACATTGTCTTTCTCTTACCTACTACCTCTCCACTTTTCCATTCATTTCAGACCTCATCTAATACAGTTATATCTCTTTAAATAGCTTAAAACAGTAATTGTCTGCCCCTGATCCTATTAAATAATATTTCCAGACCCAATTGTTTGTAGTGCTTGTTTGTTTCTTGTTTTCTCCTGCTATAGTTTGTAGTGCTTGTTTGTTTCTGGTTTTCTCCTGCTATAGTTTGTAGTGCTTGTTTGTTTCTGGTTTTCTCCTGCTATAGTTTGTAGTGCTTGTTTGTTTCTGGTTTTCTCCTGCTATAGTTTGTAGTGCTTGTTTGTTTCTGGTTTTCTCCTGCTATAGTTTGTAGTGCTTGTTTGTTTCTGGTTTTCTCCTGCTATAGTTTGTAGTGCTTGTTTGTTTCTGGTTTTCTCCTGTTATAGTTTGTAGTGCTTGTTTGTTTCTTGTTTTCTCCTGCTATAGTTTGTAGTGCTTGTTTGTTTCTTGTTTTCTCCTGCTATAGTTTGTAGTGCTTGTTTGTTTCTGGTTTTCTCCTGCTATAGTTTGAAGTGCTTGTTTGTTTCTTGTTTTCTCCTGCTATAGTTTGTAGTGCTTGTTTGTTTCTGGTTTTCTCCTGCTATAGTTTGAAGTGCTTGTTTGTTTCTTGTTTTCTCCTGCTATAGTTTGTAGTGCTTGTTTGTTTCTTGTTTTCTCCTGCTATACTTTATAGTGCTTGTTTGTTTCTTGTTTTCTCCTGCTATAGTATTCCTCTTATCTATGTGTATGCCCACATATTGAAGGATTCATCTTCCTTGTTTCTGTGCTGTAGTGTAATGTAGGTAATCATCATCATCATTCTTGTTTCTGTATTGTAGTGTAATGTAAGTAATCATCATCATCCTTGTTTCTGTACTGTAGTGTAATGTAGGTAATCATCATCATCATCCTTGTTTCTGTGCTGTAGTGTAATGTAGGTAATCATCATCATCATCCTTGTTTCTGTGCTGTAGTGTAATGTAAGTAATCATCATCATCCTTGTTTCTGTGCTGTAGTGTAATGTAGGTAATCATCATCATCATCCTTGTTTCTGTACTGTAGTGTAATGTAGGTAATCATCGTCATCATCCTTGTTTCTGTATTGTAGTGTAATGTAAGTAATCATCATCATCCTTGTTTCTGTACTGTAGTGTAATGTAGGTAATCATCATCATCATCCTTGTTTCTGTGCTGTAGTGTAATGTAGGTAATCATCATCATCATCCTTGTTTCTGTGCTGTAGTGTAATGTAGGTAATCATCGTCATCTTCCTTGTTTCTGTACTGTAGTGTAATGTAGGTAATCATCGTCATCATCCTTGTTTCTGTATTGTAGTGTAATGTAAGTAATCATCATCATCTTCCTTGTTTCTGTGCTGTAGTGTAATGTAGGTAATCATCATCATCATCCTAGTTTCTGTACTGTAGTGTAATGTAGGTAATCATCATCATACTTACAGATCATTGAGACAACAAGTAAAGTGCATTGAACATTTTGTGAGAATAAGTGCTGATCAAATACCCTAAACTGAATGTTGATGAGAGAGACCAAAGATGCTGGACTGGTTGAGAGATGCCAAAGATGCTGGACTTGGTGAGAGAGGCCAAAGATGCTGGACTTGGTGAGAGAGGGCAAAGATGCTGGACTGGATGAGAAAGGGCAAAGATGCTGGACTGGATGAGAGAGGCCAAAGATGCTGGACTGGATGAGAGGGGGCAAAGATGCTGGACTGGATGAGAGAGGGCAAAGATGCTGGACGATGAGAGAGGGCAAAGATGCTGGACTTGATGAGAGAGGCCAAATGTGTTGGACTGGATAAGAGAGGGCGAAGATGCTTGGCTTGATGAGAGGGGGCAAAGATGCTGGACGATGAGAGAGGACAAAGATGCTGGACTGGATGAGAGAGGCCAAAGATGCTGGACTGGATTAGAGAGGCCAAAGCTGCTGGATTGGATGAGAGAGGCCAAAGATGTTGGACTGGATGAGAGAGGCCAAAGATGTTGGACTGGATGAGAGAGGCCAAAGATGCTGGACTGGATGAGAAAGATGCTGGACTGGATGAGAGAGACCAAAGATGCTGGACTGAGTGAGAGAGGCCAAAGATGCTGGACTGGATGAGAGAGACCAAAGATGCTGGACTGGATGAGAGAGGCCAAAGATGCTGGGCTGGATTGCATCCATGATACTATAGTCGTTGCACAGGATAAAACTAAATGGAGGAATAGACTGCAAGCCCTATGTGACATTGAAGGTCACTAAAGGACAATGAATGATTGGCCATACCAGTTGGCAAAACACTTCATCAAGACAGTATTCATTTATATGTAGGTATACAAACAGATAAATGTATTGACATTTGTTATCGCTTCAGGTACAGAAAGTATTAAAATCTCTGATACACTTTTTCAGTTCACAAAAGGTTTTATGGCCTGGGATATTTGTGCAGGGGCAGATCACTCTGTGTTTCTTGGAGATGCAGCAGACTTGAGTCCAGATGTGCTGTACAGTGGAAGCTATCCCAGGTATGCTCTCTTTTTGTTGTCTCATTGGCTTCAGTCCTCAGTGCTGACTTATTTCTCCAACAATAATGATAGCAAGAGGCTGAGGAAGTGATAACACCCAAGGAAAACATCCGTGTGACAAACATCCGTGTGACAAACATCCGTGTGACAAACATCCGTGTGACAAACATCTGTGTGACAAACATACGTGTGACAAACATCCATTATAGAGGCCATGGATGCCAGACTTTTTCCAGTGATGATATTGAAAAAATGGCACAAGATAGATTAGAATGTCAGAATTGATTGTGAGCCCTGAGTGATGTAAATGGCACAGCATAGTGATGATAATGATAAGCAAGGTTCTAGTATGGACCCTACTTTGTACAATGGGTACCGGGCAAGTTGCAGAATATCATGTGAATTATTTGGGAAAGACAAGCGGTGAGAGGTGGAACTAGCCACCCAGTTACACATGGCTAGACAAGCGGTGAGAGGTGGAGCTAGCCACCCAGTTACACATGGCTAGACAAGCGGTGAGAGGTGGAGCTAGCCACCCAGTTACACATGGCTAGACAAGCGGTGAGAGGTGGAGCTAGCCACCCAGTTACACATGGCTAGACAAGCGGTGAGAGGTGGAGCTAGCCACCCAGTTACACATGGCTAGACAAGCGGTGAGAGGTGGAGCTAGCCACCCAGTTACACATGGCTAGACAAGCGGTGAGAGATAGAGCTAGCCACTCAGTTACACATGGCTAGACAAGCGGTGAGAGGTGGAGCTAGCCACCCAGTTACACATGGCTAGACAAGCGGTGAGAGGTGGAGCTAGCCACCCAGTTACACATGGCTAGACAAGCGGTGAGGGATGAAGCTAGCCACTCAGTTACACATGGCTAGACAAGTGGTGAGAGGTGGAGCTAGCCACCCAGTTACACATGGCTAGACAAGCGGTGAGAGATGGAGCTAGCCACCCAGTTACACATGGCTTGACATAGTGTATGTGAAGTAGTCAAACTTCACACCCTGACAGCACTACGTGTGACAGGATAACCTTTTTTGTTGATGAAGTGTAAGTATTATTATTATAGATCATTACGGTCCGAGGAGAATGGCGGTCCGAGGAGAATGGCAGTCCGAGGAGAATGGCGCTGCGAAGAATTGCCAGGAGATTGGGCCGATGCTCAACACTCAAGGGAAAGGCGAGACAGAACGAACGAACGAACAAACGAACGAACTTTATTTTCAAAGGGTTACAAATTAGGCACGCAGGCCTGTCTTACATTCGGCCCTTCCAAACTTCCATCTTTCACACAGCAGTTGTATTTCATCAATTAAGCATGTTATATTCATGTAATAATATGCATATTATATATATGAAGTCAAAAACAAAAGCATGGCTGGTAAAATATGTACGCACGCTCACACGCGAACACACACACACACATACACACACAAGCCCAATGACTCACTTACACACAAAAATATAGGCACCACATGCACACACACATACATACATACATACATACATACATACATACATACATACATACATACATACATACATACATACATACATACATACATACATACATACATACATACATACATTACATACATGACATACATACATACATACATACATCATCTGTTTTTGACATAGAACAACTCACATAATACATACACACATACACACACATACACTACACACACACACACACACACACGTTTTATGAATACATAGATACATACATACAATACATACATACATACATACATACATACATACATACATACATACATACATACATACATACATACATACATACATACATACATACTACATACATACATACATAGGATGCATACATACATACATACATACTCACATAAAAACATACACACCTACATACACACATACACACATACAGACACACATACATACATACATACAGTTAGACAGTTACTGGTGACATCGTAATTGGAACTCTTTGTTTGCTGCTGAAGATGGGGACGGGGTACTTATGAGAATGTCCTGAGTGCTATAATGTCAATTCTTTCAACACTAGCCTGATGTCTCAGTGTGCAGACTGATAAAAGAAAATTTCTTATATGTATATATGTAAAATACACATGTCTGTGGGCATACTTGACTATATATGTGAGAACCACATAACAGCCAGCAAAGATGTATGATGTCGGGGAGAAGTTGAAATATGGTATCTGATGGTATAAAATGTGCCGTCTGGTTGGTAAGTAGTTTTATGATACGTTGATGAGAATATTGGTTTTGTCTTGGAGCACCGCATCCGATCTTTATCAGTTTATTATCAATGAAAGTCACAAAATGTGGAGAACTTTGTCTCATCTGTTTTTGACAGAGAAAGCCACATTTCCATGAAGAAGATGTTTTGTCCTGCGTCACTAGCCAAAGTCAGACAGGTGAGGCGTTTTATGAATTTTAGATAGTTATGTCATCACAATCAACGTCTTTGCATATCTGGCATTCCCATATGTGCTCAGTCCACTTATGCAGCAGCCACTCCAAGGTACCTCTACTGATTATTCTCTTGAGGAGCTGGTTATAGTGTCTCCTATCTAGGCCTCGAAGGCTGCAAAGACGTGCTTCACCATACTACACTCCTATGTCAGGCAATCATGTTAGTGTCAGATTCATAGTTATCCTCTAGCCTAGTCCATACAGTGATGATATCTGCTCTGTCGACACTTCTTCCGTGTGTTGATGCATGGAATGCCAGTTGGTCTGCTCATTTGTTACCCTTCACCCCAGCATGACCAAGTGTATAGATCCAGGTGGAGGAGGTTAAGTGAAATTTCCAAATGCTTTGTACCCATTCAAAGTGTATACTACCTGTTGGGATTTCTTAAAACATGTTTGTGAAGTCTGACAAGATTGCTGCCTGCATGTGGGACTGCGTGTTCTGCTGCCCATGCTAACACTTTAGAAGCAGCAGTTATCTCTTAGGCCATGTTTGATGTAGTTGCTATGTACGCATCACTTTCCTCTTTTATTGTTCTCCCCATCCTTTATTCTGTGTATGCCCATGCTGACTTTGACCGGGGAAGTTCAACCTTCGTTGAGGAGCTCTGTCAAGAGCACTATTAAGATTGATGTTCTTCTGGGCATGAATGCTGATAAATCAGTGCTCCTCTCTTGGGGTCTATGGCTGCAGGAATTTGATACCTGCAATACCTGCCCAGTGTCATGAAACTCTTAGAAAGTCACACATGTCTCCTGGTACATCGATCCAGTTTAGATAGTGAAAATAGAGGGACAGCTGTTGAATGAGTGAATGAATGAATGAGTTAAGAACTGGCGTCACTTGAACTTGGCACATTCCTGCATTTACTGTATTCCCTTCTTCAGTCACCAGTAAGACTTTCCCGTGCCAGTGGTGCTAGAAGAAAATCTGCCTATCTTGTGCTTACTTTTGTATGTTAAAATCTGCCAATCATTTCGCACACATGTTGTGTATTGTGCCTACCCTGAACTTACTGTTGTGTGTTAAAGTCTGCCAATCATTTCCCTGCCAATCATTTCTTTCACATGTTGTGTATTGTGCCTACCCTGAACTTACTGTTGTGTGTTAAAGTCTGCCAATCATTTCCCTGCCAATCATTTCCCTGCCAATCATTTCCCTCACATTTCCCTGATGTGTATTGTGCCTACCCTGAACTTACTTTTGTTTGTTAAAGTCTGCCAATCATTTCCCTCACATGTTGTGTATTGTGCCTAAACTGAAACTTCATGTTGTGTGTTGATAATGTGCATCAATGAATGAAACAGTTTCAAATGGACAAATTAAAAACAATGAAAATCAAATCTGCATGACACATAATAATGATGATGGCCAGAGGTTACTTGTTAATCCGATACTTGAAGCGTTAACAATTACCTGGCAAACATCTTCAGTTGTTGTATCTTGACTTCCTATTTTAGCGTGTGTGGATCACCAGTTGTTGTATCTTGACTTCCTATTTCAGCTTGTGTGGATCACCAGTTGTTGTATCTTGACTTCCTATTTCAGCTTGTGTGGATCACCAGTTGTTGTATCTTGACTTCCTATTTCAGCTTGTGTGGATCACCAGTTGTTGTATCTTGACTTCCTATTTCAGCTTGTGTGGATCACAAGTTGTTGTATCTTGACTTCCTATTTCAGCTTGTGTGGATCACAAGTTGTTGTATCTTGACTTCCTATTTCAGCTTGGGTGGATCACAAAAGTCTCAGCAGGTGGCCAGCAGTGTGGGTGTAGAGTGTTAAACCCGGCACCTCCGGAGTCACAGCCTCTATTTGAGTTGGCTGCCTCTGAGAGAACATTTTACAACCAGCTGATCAAGACTAGCAACCTGTTGCTAAGGCCCCTCCAGAAGTCTGGTATTGATTTGATCATTGTCTGCTTGCACTAGAAGTTTGCCTCTGCTATCTTGTGTATTACTTGAATATCTTATATTTGATTAAAAGATAGCTTATTAGATGTCTCATTTATTTGACTTAAATTTTCTATATTTGACTTAAATTATGTTTGACTCAAGAGGCCTGGGTGGTAAAAAGTTCCAAGTTGTCATTTGGGAGATCCGTGTTTTAATCGTCACTAAGATGAGGAATCTTTTTCTGTCATGTGGCTCTAAACCCTCCAGAAGTAAAGACAGTTTGTGCCGACTGCACTAGCCATGTGATTCTGAACTCTCCAGAAGTAAAGACAGTTTGTGCCGACTGCACTAGCCATGTGGCTCTAAACCCTCCAGAAGTAAAGACAGATTGTGCCGACTGCACTAGCCATGTGGCTCTAAATCCTCCAGAAGTAAAGACAGTTTGTGCCGACTGTACTAGCCATGTGATTCTGAACTCTCCAGAAGTAAAGACAGATTGTGCCGACTGCACTAGCCATGTGGCTCTAAACCCTCCAGAAGTAAAGACAGTTTGTGCCGACTGCACTAGCCATGTGGCTCTAAATCCTCAGGAAGTAAAGACAGTTTGTGCCGACTGCACTAGCCATGTGGCTCTAAACCTTCAGGAAGTAAAGACAGTTTGTGCCGACTGCACTAGCCATGTGGCTCTAAACCCTCCAGAAGTAAAGACAGTTTGTGCCGACTGCACTAGCCATGTGGCTCTAAACCTTCAGGAAGTAAAGACAGTTTGTGCCGACTGCACTAGCCATGTGGCTCTAAACCTTCAGGAAGTAAAGACAGTTTGTGCCGACTGCACTAGCCATGTGGCTCTAAACCCTCCAGAAGTAAAGACAGTTTGTGCCGACTGCACTAGCCATGTGGCTCTAAACCTTCCGGAAGTAAAGACAGTTTGTGCCGACTGCACTAGCCATGTGGCTCTAAACCTTCAGGAAGTAAAGACAGTTTGTGCTGACTGCACTAGCCATGTGGCTCTAAACCTTCAGGAAGTAAAAACAGTTTGTGCCGACTACACTAGCCATGTGGCTCTAAACCCTCCAGAAGTAAAGACAGTTTGTGCCGACTGCACTAGCCATGTGGCTCTAAACCCTCCAGAAGTAAAGACAGTTTGTGCCGACTGCACTAGCCATGTGGCTCTAAACCTTCAGGAAGTAAAGACAGTTTGTGCCGACTGCACTAGCCATGTGGCTCTAAACCTTCAGGAAGTAAAGACAGTTTGTGCGGACTGCACTAGCCATGTGGCTCTAAACCCTCCGGAAGTAAAGACAGTTTGTGCTGACTGTACTAGCCATGTGGCTCTAAACCTTCAGGAAGTAAAGACAGTTTGTGCCGACTGCACTAGCCATGTGGCTCTAAACCCTCCAGAAGTAAAGACAGTTTGTGCCGACTGCACTAGCCATGTGGCTCTAAACCCTCCAGAAGTAAAGACAGTTTGTGCCGACTACACTAGCCATGTGGCTCTAAACCTTCCGGAAGTAAAGACAGTTTGTGCCGACTGCACTAGCCATGTGGCTCTAAACCCTCCAGAAGTAAAGACAGTTTGTGCCGACTGCACTAGCCATGTGGCTCTAAACCCTCCAGAAGTAAAGACAGTTTGTGCCGACTGTACTAGCCATGTGGCTCTAAACCTTCCGGAAGTAAAGACAGTTTGTGCCGACTGCACTAGCCATGTGGCTCTAAACCCTCCAGAAGTAAAGACAGTTTGTGCCGACTGTACTAGCCATGTGGCTCTAAACAGGAAGTAAGAGCCATGTGGCTCTAAACCTTCAGAAGTAAAGACAGTTTGTGCCGACTGCACTAGCCATGTGGCTCTAAACCCTCCAGAAGTAAAGACAGTTTGTGCCGACTGCACTAGCCATGTGGCTCTAAACCCTCCAGAAGTAAAGACAGTTTGTGCCGACTGTACTAGCCATGTGGCTCTAAACCTTCAGGAAGTAAAGACAGTTTGTGCCGACTGCACTAGCCATGTGGCTCTAAACCCTCCAGAAGTAAAGACAGTTTGTGCCGACTGCACTAGCCATGTGGCTCTAAACCCTCAGGAAGTAAAGACAGTTTGTGCCGACTGCACTAGCCATGTGGCTCTAAACCCTCCAGAAGTAAAGACAGTTTGTGCCGACTGCACTAGCCATGTGGCTCTAAACCCTCCAGAAGTAAAGACAGTTTGTGCCGACTGCACTAGCCATGTGGCTCTAAACCCTCCAGAAGTAAAGACAGTTTGTGCCGACTGTACTAGCCATGTGGCTCTAAACTCTCCAGAAGTAAAGACAGTTTGTGCCGACTGCACTAGCCATGTGGCTCTAAACCCTCCAGAAGTAAAGACAGTTTGTGCCGACTGCACTAGCCATGTGGCTCTAAACTCTCCAGAAGTAAAGACAGTTTGTGCCGACTGCACTAGCCATGTGGCTCTAAACCCTCCAGAAGTAAAGACAGTTTGTGCCGACTGCACTAGCCATGTGGCTCTAAACCCTCCAGAAGTAAAGACAGTTTGTGCCGACTGTACTAGCCATGTGGCTCTAAACCCTCCAGAAGTAAAGACAGTTTGTGCCGACTGCACTAGCCATGTGGCTCTAAACCCTCCAGAAGTAAAGACAGTTTGTGCCGACTGCACTAGCCATGTGGCTCTAAACCCTCCAGAAGTAAAGACAGTTTGTGCCGACTGCACTAGCCATGTGGCTCTAAACTCTCCAGAAGTAAAGACAGTTTGTGCCGACTGCACTAGCCATGTGGCTCTAAACCCTCCAGAAGTAAAGACAGTTTGTGCCGACTGCACTAGCCATGTGGCTCTAAACCCTCCAGAAGTAAAGACAGTTTGTGCCGACTGCACTAGCCATGTGGCTCTAAACTCTCCAGAAGTAAAGACAGTTTGTGCCGACTGCACTAGCCATGTGGCTCTAACCTTCCAGAAGTAAAGACAGTTTAGCCATGTGGCTCTAAACCCTCCAGAAGTAAAGACAGTGCCGACTGTACTAGCCATGTGGCTCTAAACCTCCAGAAGTAAAGACAGTTTGTGCCGACTGCACTAGCCATGTGGCTCTAAACCCTCCAGAAGTAAAGACAGTTTGTGCCGACTGCACTAGCCATGTGGCTCTAAAACCTCCAGAAGTAAAGACAGTTTGTGCCGACTGCACTAGCCATGTGGCTCTAAACTCTCCAGAAGTAAAGACAGTTTGTGCCGACTGCACTAGCCATGTGGCTCTAAACCTTCAGGAAGTAAAGACAGTTTGTGCCGACTGCACTAGCCATGTGGCTCTAAACCTTCAGGAAGTAAAGACAGTTTGTGCCGACTGCACTAGCCATGTGGCTCTAAACCTTCAGGAAGTAAAGACAGTTTGTGCCGACTGCACTAGCCATGTGGCTCTAAACCTTCAGGAAGTAAAGACAGTTTGTGCCGACTGCACTAGCCATGTGGCTCTAAACTCTCCAGAAGTAAAGACAGTTTGTGCCGACTGCACTAGCCATGTGGCTCTAAACCTTCAGGAAGTAAAGACAGTTTGTGCCGACTGCACTAGCCATGTGGCTCTAAACCTTCAGGAAGTAAAGACAGTTTGTGCCGACTGCACTAGCCATGTGGCTCTAAACTCTCCAGAAGTAAAGACAGTTTGTGCCGACTGCACTAGCCATGTGGCTCTAAACCTTCCAGAAGTAAAGACAGTTTGTGCCGACTGCACTAGCCATGTGGCTCTAAACTCTCCAGAAGTAAAGACAGTTTGTGCCGACTGCACTAGCCATGTGGCTCTAAACCTTCAGGAAGTAAAGACAGTTTGTGCCGACTGCTAAACTAGACATGTGGCTCTAAACTCTTCAGGAAGTAAAGACAGTTTTTGTGCCGACTGCACTAGCCATGTGCTCTAAACCTTCAGGAAGTAAAGACAGTTTGTGCCGACTGCACTAGCCATGTGGCTCTAAACCTTCAGAAGTAAAGACAGTTTGTGCCGACTGCACTAGCCATGTGGCTCTAAACTCTCCAGAAGTAAAGACAGTTTGTGCCGACTGCACTAGCCATGTGGCTCTAAACAGAAGTAGCCATGCACTAGCCATGTGGCTCTAAACCTCCAGAAGTAAAGACAGTTTGTGCCGACTGCACTAGCCATGTGGCTCTAAACTCTCCAGAAGTAAAGACAGTTTGTGCCGACTGCACTAGCCATGTGGCTCTAAACCCTCCAGAAGTAAAGACAGTTTGTGCCGACTGCACTAGCCATGTGGCTCTAAACCTCTCCAGAAGTAAAGACAGTTTGTGCCGACTGCACTAGCCATGTGGCTCTAAACCCTCCAGAAGTAAAGACAGTTTGTGCCGACTGCACTAGCCATGTGGCTCTAAACTCTCCAGAAGTAAAGACAGTTTGTGCCGACTGTACTAGCCATGTGGCTCTAAACCTCTCCAGAAGTAAAGACAGTTTTTGTGCCGACTGCACTAGCCATGTGGCTCTAAACCTCCGGAAGTAAAGACTGCACTGTGCGCAGCCATGTGGCTCTAAATGTGGACTGGTGTTTGTACTCTGATTGGCTCTCAGAAACCTCCACGGAAGTGCTAAAGCATGGCTGACAGCAGAAGTTTGTGAAATCGATACTGCACTAGCATTTGTGGTTTTCTGATAACCCTGGTAGAAGTAAACAACAGACATCTGTGCCTCATTGACTAGTCCACTGGTACCATGTGGCTCTAAACCCTGTAGAAGTAAAGACAGTTTGTGCCGACTGCACTAGCATATGTCCTCTTATCTGAACATCCAGAAGTAAAGACAGTTTGTGTGACATCTAGCCATGTAACAGTTTTCTGCACTTATTTCTGGCTACAAATGTGTCCCTCTCTTCATGTTTAAGGAATGTCTCACTCTCGACTGTAACGTTTTGGTGCGACATGTAGAAATGTGGCTTACTTTTTTTCCTTTTGACAGTTTGTGCCGACTGCACTAGCCCCCTCCAGAAACCTGGTCCCCAAGGAAATTCTCACAAAAATGGGAAACAGTTTGACACTGTACTAAATTTCTCTACTGGTCACTGTATAAGATTTTCATGTTTGATTAAAATTAATTCAGTTTTACATTAAAGACATTTGTCCCATGATGAAATGTTTGACATTGTAGAATATCTCTGTGGTCTTTCTACACTGATGTCCAGAATCCTGTGTGTTGACATGTTTGTGCCGACTTTCTTGTGTCTTTCTGTCATGATGAAATTGTTGACACTCCAGAACTAAAACGTGTGTTTTCTGTTTTGCACTGTAGTCATGATGAAATGTTGACACTGTAGACTTTCTCTGTATCTTTCTGTCATGTTGAAATTGTTGACACTGTAGACTTTCTCTGTGTCTTTCTGTCATGAGAAAATTTTTGACACTGTAGACTTTTCTCTGTATCTTTCTGTCATGATGAAATTGTTGACACTGTAGACTTTCTCTGTGTCTTTCTGTTCATGTTGAAGTTTGTTGACACTGTAGACTTTCTCTGTGTCTTTCTGTCATGATGAACCCTCTGTAGACTTTCTCTGTAACAGTTTTGTTGAAATTGTTGACAGCTGTAGACTTTCTCTGTGTCTTTCTGTCATGATGTTGAACTTTCTCTGTGTCTTTCTGATTGTTGAAATTGTGCCGACTAGACTTTCTCTGTATCTTTCTGTCATGATGAAATTGTTGACACTGTAGACTTTCTCTGTGTCTTTCTGTTCATGTTGAAATTGTTGACACTACTAGACTTTCTCTGTGTCTTTGTGTATGTTGAAATTGTTGACACTGTAGACTTTCTCTGTCATGCATGAAATTGTTGACATTGTAGACTTTCTCTGGTGTCTTTCTGTCATGTTTGAAATTGTTGACACTGTAGACTTTCTCTGTGTCTTTCTGTTCATGTTGAAATTGTTGACACTGTAGACTTTCTCTGTGACTCTTCTCTGTAGATCCTGTTTCTGAACTCTTTCTTCATGATGAAATTGTTGACACTGTAGACTTTCTCTGTGTCTTTCTGTCATGTTGAAATTGTTGACACTGTAGACTTTCTCTGTGTCTTTCTGTTATGTTGAAATTGTTGACACTGTAGACTTTCTCTGTGTCTTTCTGTCATGTTGAAATTGTTGACACTGTAGACTTTCTCTGTGTCTTTCTGTCATGTTGAAATTGTTGACACTGTAGACTTTCTCTGTGTCTTTCTGTCATGTTTGAAATTGTTTGAACACTGTAGACTTTCTCTTGTGTCTTTCTGTCATGTTGAAATTGTTGACACTGTAGACTTTCTCTGTGTCTTTTCTGTCATGTTGTGAAATTGTTGACACTGTAGACTTTCTCTGTGTCTTTCTGTCATGTTGAAATTGTTGACACTGTAGACTTTCTCTGTGTCTTTCTGTCATGATGAAATTGTTGACACTGTAGACTTTCTCTGTGTCTTTCTGTCATGTTGAAATTGTTGACACTGTAGACTTTCTCTGATCTTTCTGTCATGTTGAAATTGTTGACACTGTAGACTTTTTCTCTGTGTCTTTCTGTCATGATGAAATTGTTGACACTGTAGACTTTCTCTGTGTCTTTCTGTCATGTTGAAATTGTTGACACTGTAGACTTTCTCTGTGTCTTTCTGTCATGATGAAATTGTTGACACTGTAGACTTTTCTCTTCTGTTATGATGAAATTGTTGACACTGTAGACTTTCTCTGTGTCTTTCTGTCATGTTGAAATTGTTGACACTGTAGACTTTCTCTGTGTCTTTCTGTTTTGTTGAAATTGTTGACATTGTAGACTTTCTCTGTGTCTTTCTGTCATGTTGAAATTGTTGACACTGTAGACTTTCTCTGTGTCTTTCTGTCATGTTGAAATTGTTGACACTGTAGACTTTCTCTGTGTCTTTCTGTCATGATGAAATTGTTGACACTGTAGACTTTCTCTGTGTCTTTCTGTCATGTTGAAATTGTTGACACTGTAGACTTTCTCTGTATCTTTCTGTCATGTTGAAATTGTTGACACTGTAGACTTTCTCTGTGTCTTTCTGTCATGTTGACAGTTTGAAATTGTTGACACTGTAGACTTTCTCTGTGTCTTTCTGTTCATGCGTTGAAAAATTGTTGACACTGTAGACTTTCTCTGTGTCTTTCTGTCATGATGAAATTGTTGACACTGTAGACTTTCTCTGTGTCTTTCTGTCATGATGAAATTGTTGACACTGTAGACTTTCTCTGTGTCTTTCTGTCATGATGAAATTGTTGACACTGTAGACTTTCTCTGTGTCTTTCTGTCATGTTGAAATTGTTGACACTGTAGACTTTCTCTGTGTCTTTCTGTCATGATGAAATTGTTGACACTGTAGACTTTCTCTGTGTCTTTCTGTCATGATGAAATTGTTGACACTGTAGACTGTTCTCTGTGTGAAATTGTTCTGTAGACTTTCTCTGTGTCTTCTGATGAAATTGTTGACACTGTAGACTTTCTCTGTGTAGACTTTCTGTGTCATGATGTTGAAATTGTTGACACTGTAGACTTTCTCTGTGTCTTTCTGTCATGATGAAATTGTTGACACTGTAGACTTTCTCTGTGTCTTTCTGTCATGATGAAATTGTTGACACTGTAGACTTTCTCTGTGTCTTTCTGTCATGATGAAATTGTTGACACTGTAGACTTTCTCTGTGTCTTTCTGTCTGTGTAGGACTTTCTCTGTGTCTTTCTGTCATGAAATTGTTGACACTGTAGACTTTTCTCTGTGTCTTTCTGTCATGATGAAATTGTTGACACTGTAGACTTTCTCTGTGTCTTTCTGTCATGATGAAATTGTTGACACTGTAGACTTTCTCTGTGTCTTTCTGTCATGATGAAATTGTTGACACTGTAGACTTTCTCTGTGTCTTTCTGTCATGATGAAATTGTTGACACTGTAGACTTTTGTCTCTGTGTCTTTCTCTGTGTCTTTCTGTCATGATGAAATTGTTGACACTGTAGACTTTCTCTGTGTCTTTCTGTCATGATGAAATTGTTGACACTGTAGACTTTCTCTGTGTCTTTCTGTTTTGTTGAAATTGTTGACACTGTAGACTTTCTCTGTGTCTTTCTGTCATGATGAAATTGTTGACACTGTAGACTTTCTCTGTGTCTTTCTGTCATGTTGAAATTGTTGACACTGTAGACTTTCTCTGTGTCTTTCTGTCATGATGAAATTGTTGACACTGTAGACTTTCTCTGTGTCTTTCTGTCATGATGAAATTGTTGACACTGTAGACTTTCTCTGTGTCTTTCTGACTTTCATGATGAAATTGTTGACACTGTAGACTTTCTCTGTGTCTTTCTGTCATGATGATGAAATTGTTGACACTGTAGACTTTCTCTGTATCTTTCTTTCATGCTACTACCTCTGTGTTAATGGCAACTGTTACTACCTCTGTGTTAATGGCAACTGTTACTACCTCTGTGTTAATGGTGACTTACTACATCTGTGTTAATGGCAACTGTTACTACCTCTGTGTTAATGGCAACAGTTACTACCTCTGTGTTAATGATAACTGTTACTACCTCTGTGTTAATGGCAACTGTTACTACCTCTGTGTTAATGGCAATAGTTTCTACCTCTGTGTTAATGGCAACTGTTACTACCTCTGTGTTAATGGCAATTGTTTCTACCTCTGTGTTAATGGCAACTGTTACTACCTCTGTGTTAATGGCAATTGTTACTACCCCTGTCTTAATGGCAACTGTTACTACCTCTGTGTTAATGGCAACTGTTACTACCTCTGTGTTAATATCAACTGTTACTACCTCTGTGTTAATGGCAACTGTTACTACCTCTGTGTTAATATCAACTGTTACTACTTCTGTGTTAATGGCAATAGTTACTACCTCTGTGTTAATGGTGACTGTTACTACCTCTGTGTTAATGGCAACTGTTTCAATTTTACATTTGAAGATTGGTGAAAGCATCACAGATTTGACCAAGTGCATCCAGATCTCTGCCACCCTGACCACCTCTCTGATGCTGGGTTATCACTGTGAGCTCATGGAGGTCTTCCAGAACTACTCACATGCATTTTCTGACTTTTTGGCAGTTGGTGGTTTTGACTTTTGCACCAAGGCTGGAAGGTATATGTTCAAATCTGCTGCTTTCTGACTATATTGTGCTTAAAATATTCAACTATTTGAACTTTCAATGATTGTAACATATGCTGACTAAGCAAACCACGTATTGATGTGTCCAGAGTGTTCTGACATTGTCTCTAGCTGGTCAGTCAAAAATAATCTAGACATTTAGGCCCTCCTGCATGGAGTTATTCAGTTGGATTAATCAAGCCGTAAAATCAGTCACCCAGCCACTCATTGAATCAATAATTCACTTCCAAGCTGGAGAAAACTCCAACAAAAGAAATCAGAAGATCACAGCGAGTGCCTCATTGTTCAGGGGACTTAAGTGAAATAATGTCTGCCTCCGCTTGAATACAACTGACAAGATCACAATGAGTGCCACAGTTTTCAGGGGACTTAAGTGGAATAACGTCTGCCTCCGCTTGAATACAACTGACAAGATCACAGCGAGTGCCTCAGTGTTCAGGGGACTTAAGTGGAATAGCGTTTGTCTCAGATTGAATATAACTGACAAGATCACAGAGAGTGCTCCCAGTGTTCAGAGGCACTTAAGTGAAATAACATCTGTCTCAGCTTGAATACAACTGACAAGATCACAGCAAGTGCTCCAGTGTTCAGAGGCACTTAAGTGAAATACGCTGCCTCGGCTTGAATACAACTGACAAGATCATTGCATGGCACTTAGATTTGTATATTGTATATGTGTACACTTTGTCGTCTGATACTGTACCAGTGATGGAAACATTTAACCGTCTCGGGAAAGTGTGAAAAAAAGGCATTTTGCACAGGTTAAGGATATTTGACAGTTACACACTAAAAAAAAAGCAAGTCAGATAGGTCACTGACTGAACCCATTCTCACAGTGATAAAACCTGGCCAAGAAAGTGTTGATTTTGAGATCGGTGCAAAGACCCCTCCCTGCACTTATACGACAGAAGTGGTAGGTACAGGCAGTACAGGCATCTCCATGGAAGAAAACAAGAGCACCTGTGGAGCTAGACGTGTGCAGTGACGGTGATAAAGCTAGTCGTGTGCAGTGACGGTGATGAAGCTAGTGGTGTGCAGTGACGGTGATAAAGCTAGTGGTGTGCAGTCACGGTGATGAAGCTAGTGGTGTGCAGTGACGGTGATAAAGCTAGTTGTGTGCAGTCACGGTGATGAAGCTAGTGGTGTGCAGTGACGGTGATAAAGCTAGTGGTGTGCAGTCACGGTGATAAAGCTAGTGGTGTGCAGTGACGGTGATAAAGCTAGTGGTGTGCAGTCACGGTGATGAAGCTAGTGGTGTGCAGTCACGGTGATGAAGCTAGTGGTGTGCAGTCACGGTGATAAAGCTAGTGGTGTGCAGTGACGGTGATAAAGCTTGTGGTGTGCAGTCACGGTGATGAAGCTAGTGGTGTGCAGTGACGGTGATGGACCTAGTGGTGTGCAGTCACGGTGATAAAGCTAGTGGTGTGCAGTCACGGTGATAAAGCTAGTGGTGTGCAGTCACGGTGATAAAGCTAGTGGTGTGCAGTCACGGTGATAAAGCTAGTGGTGTGCAGTCACGGTGATAAAGCTAGTGGTGTGCAGTCACGGTGATAAAGCTAGTGGTGTGCAGTCATGGTGATAAAGCTAGTGGTGTGCAGTCACGGTGATAAAGCTAGTGGTGTGCAGTCACGGTGATGAAGCTAGTCGTGTGCAGTGACGGTGATGAAGCTAGTGGTGTGCAGTGACGGTGATGAAGCTAGTCATGTGCAGTGACGGTGATAAAGCTAGTGGTGTGCAGTCACGGTGATGAAGCTAGTGGTGTGCAGTGATGGTGATAAAGCTAGTGGTGTGCAGTCACGGTGATAAAGCTAGTGGTGTGCAGTCACGGTGATAAAGCTAGTGGTGTGCAGTCACGGTGATAAAGCTAGTGGTGTGCAGTGACGGTGATGAAGCTAGTCGTGTGCAGTCACGGTGATAAAGCTAGTCGTGTGCAGTGACGGTGATAAAGCTAGTGGTGTGCAGTCACGGTGATGAAGCTAGTGGTGTGCAGTCACGGTGATAAAGCTAGTGGTGTGCAGTGACGGTGATGAAGCTAGTGGTGTGCAGTGACGGTGATAAAGCTAGTGGTGTGCAGTCACGGTGATAAAGCTAGTGGTGTGCAGTGACGGTGATGAAGCTAGCGGTGTGCAGTGACGGTGATAAAGCTAGTGGTGTGCAGTCACGGTGATAAAGCTAGTGGTGTGCAGTGACGGTGATAAAGCTAGTGGTGTGCAGTGATGGTGATGAAGCTAGTGGTGTGCAGTGACAGTGATTGTTGACAAACTAAAGCACCCATGTAGCTAGTCGTGTGCAGTGACAGAGATTGTTGACAAACTAAAGCACCCATGTAGCTAGTCGTGTGCAGTGACAGAGATTGTTGACAAACTAAAGCACCCATTGAGCTAATCATGTGCAGTGACCGTGATGAAGCTAGTCGTGTGCCGTGACGGTGATGAAGCTAGTCGTGTGCCGTGACGGTGATGAAGCTAGACGTGTGCAGTGACCATGATGGAGCTAGTCGTGTGCAGTGACCGTGATGGAGCTAGTCATGTGCAGTGACGCTGATTGTTGACAAACTAAAGCAGTTTTTCCATGTTGATTGTTTTTTCCTGCAGTGAGTTCTTTGAGAAGATCCAGAGCTCCATCAGAGACCTGTCAGAAGAGCAGGACAAGTCTGTAGCAGCCAGCAGTCTATTGTTGCGAGCCATGAGGTACCCCTTCTTTCGTTTGGCAGAATACAGTCGCATCATAAGCAAGATTGCTGCCCTTGTGACAGTAAGTGATTCTGACAGTTGTCTCACACTGTGTTTTCTGATTCGGGTAATTTTTTCTTTCCTTTTAAAGTGCTGATTCTTTTAATCTCATTGACATCCAGTAATAGTGATAGTCACCCATGTCTGCATACAAGGGACTGTTTCAAACAGTACCGTACTACGACTAAGCTGCATGAAAATAATTGTAGCTACAATCTGTTTATAACTGTACAAAGTGAATATTGTGTCTGAAATGGTCTGTTTTGACCCACATTTTCTGTGGAAGTTTGTTCAGCCCTCTGTAAGAACTGACAGCCTCTGAGTGATAAACTAACTCACAAACTCATCATAACTTTTGAATTTGTTACGAAGTTGAACAAAATGTTATTCTCAAACTGAGATATTTACTGCTCTTGAGGCTGTACAATCATGGTAAGTGTGTGACACAGTTGTATCTTTCACATCTCCCAAGAATGGATGTGCCTAATTCGTACAAAGTGTGTTATGGATACAATTCGTAGCTCTCTTGATCGTACTCAACAACACGGCCAGTGATGTAACAAACTATTACAGATCTGGTTGTTTATTTCCACATTATTGTCAAGTCAAACAGTATGAGTCATTTCATTAACCAATAGTATAGGAACACTTCATTATCTTATTACTGGCTATTCATATGTCTCTCTATGAGTTCTTTTTTTTTAATTCTTGAAATTTGTCTCTATGTAATTTAGTACAAAGCTGTAAAATATTATGAGTATAACATTGTGAAGATATGGCATTTTTGTTAATCTATATTGCTGTCAGAAAAAATATTTTTTAGTTGCCTTTTGTGCACCTAAATACAGCCACATGATGATGATGTGAAACAAGATTCTGCACTTGTTTTTGCTGAAGTCTGTTTTCCATTTAATTGGATGCATCCCCGTGTGGGTTCCGGAGCCCTGTTATAGGGAAAACAAGAATAGACCCACTGCCTACCCAAAAGCATGTCGTAAGAGTCGACTAATTGGGAACTTTCTTTGAAGTCTGAGTACATCTGCCTGAGAGGCAAGAAACCAGCAGTCTGCACACAAATGAGTCATTTCTGTCAAACGGATGAAACGTCCAACACTCGTGATCTGAAACAGGACTGCTGTCCAGCAGTGGACGAACAACCAGAACTTTCCGCCAGAGTTTACAGCCAGTGAACGCGAAGAAGAAGAATTTGATGCAAAAATAGAAAATAATTATGTTTATGTTAAATAGTTGTGAAATTATTTTGACTGTGACAAATAGTAGTAAAGTTTTTAGTAAACAATGAAATCACCAGAAAACCCCTCTTGACTCCTCCCTATGACTCCCTCAGCAAAATCCTCTTTTACTCACGTAAAAAATTTTTCCTTTTTTTACAACTTTTTGAAACCCCCCCCCCCCCCCCCAAAATCTCTAGAGCCTGGAGAAAAGGCCCACTGCAGAGGGTGGTTGGACTGGGGTGGACTAAAAAAATTATTCCTCGGACAAAGGGCTGATATCACCGGGTTTTGGGGAAAATTTTTGTCCCCAAATTGACAGTAAGAACAAAATTGTTTCTTTTTGAATTTGCTACTTTAATTTGCTTACAAAGTTTATGAAGGACTTTGTATTTTCTTAAACCCCCTTTTGTGCTCATCTCTCCTAAAAATTTGAAGCTCTTGTTCTTTGATGTTTCTATCAACACAG